CACCAGGGCTGGCTCTGCCCTCGTCCCAGCCAGCCGCCCTCCCTCGGCAACGGGGCCTGTCACACCGGGGCCGGCTCGTCCCTTGTCCCAGCCAGCCGCCCTCCCTCGGCGACGGGGCCTGTCACACCGGGGCCGGCTCGTCCCTCGTCCCAGCCAGCCGCCCTCCCTTGGCGACGGGGCCTGTCATGCCAGGGCTGGCTCGTCCCTCGTCCCATCCAGCCGCCCTCCCTCGACGACAGGGCCTGTCATGCCAGAGCTGGCTCGTCCCTCATCCCAGCCAGCCGCCCTCCCTCTGAACCTAGGGTCCTCACTGACCAAGGACAACCACTGTGAGTGGGGTGTGGTGAGGAAGCAGGGGGGGGGCACGGTAAAGGAACTTTTGGTTGTAGAACTCAAGAATGTGAGGCAGAAGAAGACTCTGCCTCATGCACTCTGCGGTGGGTGTCCTGCTCACAGTTTATGTTTATGAGTCCTGCTTGTGGCGTTTTCCCTAATTAATGTCAGGTGACTTCTCTCCTTTCATTAATGTTTCTTTTGTACACTCATACTCTGTGCTTGCAAGTGGGGAAGTATTGCCTCTCAGAGGCACCCAGGGGTGGTATATAATTTCCCCAGGTTCCTGGGTGGGGGCTCGAGCTGGTTTTGTGTTGTATTGTTGAAAAGGAACCCCTAGATATTAAACCCGGTCCTGGCTGCTGCTGGCTCCACCTGACAGAAGGGTTACACCAGCCTTCTGCCCTCCCTCAGTGATGGGGCCTGTCACACCAGGGCTGGTTCTGCCCTCATCCCACTCAGCCACCATCCCTCAGCAACAGCCGGTCGAAAAAGGGACCCTGGCGGCTCCGACTGGGCCGTTAAAAGTCCGGTCAGCAGCACAGCCCCTAGGCGCATGGACAGCCAGGGAGGCTCCACGCGCTGCCTCCGCCCCCAGTGCCGGCTCCATAGCTCCCACTGGCCGGGAACCACGACCAATGGGAGCTGCGGTGGCGGTGCCTGTGGGCGCGAAAGCAGCACGCGGAGCCTCCCTGGCCGCCCATGCGCCTAAGGGCTGCAGGGACCTGATGGCTGCTTCCTGGGAGCCATGGTAAGTGTTGTCAGAACCCCAAACCCCCTCCCACACCCCACCCCAGCCCCCTCGTGCACCCCAAACCCTCATCCCCAGCCCAGAGCCTGCATCCCCAGCTGGAGTCCTCAACCCCCACCACACACGCACACACCGCAACCCCCTGCCCCAGCCCAGAGCCCTCTCCTGCACCTTGAGCCCCTCATTTCTGAGCCCGCACCCCCCAGCCCAGAGCCCACACCCCCCATACCCTATCCCTCTGCCCCAGCCTGGAGCCCTCTCCCACACCCCAAACCCCTCATCCCTGGCCCCACCTCAGAGCCCGCATCCCCAGCCGGAGCCCTCACCCCCTTCCTGCACCCCAACACCCTGCCCCAGCCCAGTGAAAGTGAGTGAGGGTGGGGGAGAGCAAGCAATGGAGGGAGTGGGGATAGAGCGAGCAGGGTGGGGCCTCAGAGAAGGGGCAGGGCAGGGGCAGGGCCTCGCAGAAGGGCGCGGGGCAGGGGTGTTTGGTTTTGTGCAATTAGAAAGTTGGCAACCCTACACCAGGGCTGGCTCTGCCCTCGTCCCAGCCAGTCGCCTTCCCTCGGCGACGGGGTCTGTCACTGTGGGGCTGGCTCTGCCCGCGTCCCAGTCAGCCACCATCCCTCAGCGACGCGGCCTTCCACTGTGGGGCTGGCTCTGCCAGCGTCCCAGCCAGTCACC